ATTGCCGCCTGGGGAGCGCAACATTTCAGACTTTCATTTTTTTTGACGCACCCTAAGGCCCCCGCGTGTGCACTATAGTAACGCTGTTATAGCAGGAACCGCAGGATAGACACAATAACATTTTTGTTGAACACAAAGAGAAGTTAAAAGCAGTCACAATCAATAGTTAAATTGCATTGAAATGTACATCATCAGGACTTTATCAAATATTTAAGAAAATAATAAAAAACGTTTTACCAAAGTTAAATTTAAAAATGAATACACTTCATATGCAAAATAAATTGAAACATAATAGGGCTGCCACAATGTACCTGCATTTATAATAGCAGCCTATCAAACAAATTAAATGTGAGATTACTTCTTGCTAGAGCCGTGAAATGTCCTCTGCGTTGCGGACGTTTTCACTTTTTCAACGCTGTTTAACATGAAAACTGAAGTATCTAAATACATTCTGATATCGCTAAAGTATCAATTAAGATTACCTATGTCCTATCGTTTACCAAACATGAACTTCTAAACTGGCTCCTGCGTTAAATGGCGTCAAGTTTAGAGGCTTTTCTGTTGCGGACGTTACATTTTCACTTACCCTCACAAAATGAGGGAAAATATCGCATATATTTGAATTTTTCTGCTCTGTGAAGCTGTTTTATATTGTTAAGGAACTTGAATTTAACTCCATGTGGTTGTAAATCTTATAGATGCAATATGTAGTGAATAAAAATTGCTCCAAATATAACCTTAAAAATCACAGATCTGAGCATGCCTTTAGAGAAACTGAAAAATCTTGCGAATTTAGGAACTTGAAATAAAAAGAGAACTCAATTCATAAAATTGAAGGTTTTCCCTATTCTGTGTACAAAATTTTATCGCGCACAAGTTGAGTTGATTTATTAACCTCGAAGGTCCCCTTTCGAAATAATTTCCCTGTAGAAAATTCCCAATAATGCACCAACTGGGGCATGTGAAAAGGTAGAAAGACCAGGAGCTTGCGGTAAGGCCCGAAATATTTGGCAAAAGGATTAAACTTCTTCTTCCGGTCAAAGATACTGATCGTTCTCATCTTGGTTAGCATACAAATTTACAACACAACCCACCATAAACAACATACCATACCATACCATTACCATGAATAATCAGAATGATACGATGAGCAATATTTTGAATTATCCCGGGAGAGATAGGTACCAATCGGCAAAGTCGCTTGATTGAGTCTTGTTTCTCGTTTCCATTTTCGATGAAGCATGGATTCAAAATCAAGACTCCACAGTTTCCCTTCTTTCCTCATGAATGGATGGAAAAATGCAATTTTCTAAAAGAAAATGCTGTAAAACCAGACATTCATTTTGTCAGACAATAGATTCTTTTTTCTATTGCTTGATCAATTGTGAAAATGTGCAGGAGCGGCCTCTTTCAACAGTGGGAAGAGAAAATTTCTAGTTGATAAGCCAATGGTAGAGGCCTTAATCGCCAGGAATCCATAGATTTACATATTCCAAATGTAATGCAAATTAATAGTTAATTTCATCAACATTTCAGCTGACATTGGAGCAACTCCATTTGGATTGGGATCCCTCGGCGGTATTTTAGGTTTAGACAGTATGGGAATGGGGTCACCCAATTTCATGGAACTTCAACAGCGCATGCAACGAGAAATGTTACGCAACCCTAACATGCTCCAGCAAATGATGGATAATCCACTTGTTCAACAGTTAATGAACGATCCAAGCAACATGCGTCAGCTCATCATGGCTAACCCTCAGATGCAAGAATTGATGGATGTAAGTGAACAATGATCAATTTTTACCCTGTGAAAAAGACCAAAGATTGACTCAAATTCTTCAATGAGTATACTCTGAAAAGGGTTTTACTTAAAAATTTTCTCAGGAAGGTTTTATGACTCCTTTGTTTGCAATACCATTTGATGCAGAAATACTTAATGGTACCTCACGCAAAGCTAATCGTCCAAATCCAAAACTCAGTAATGGGCCTATTGCAAACTTCAGCCAGAGCAAAAAGGAGAGTTATTTCTCCCAGAAACTGGCCCGAAAATTATGGTGAGCGCATTGGGAAAGTTTAAAAAAAACCCTTAACTTCATTGTCTGCGAACGAAATATGCGATTTTTTAGGTTGTTCTAAGTAAGAAACGATACTACGGCATATATAGTCGTATCCGTTAAAAGGGTGGATGTCGAGTTTCTCAGTTTTCAAGAGAACGCACTCAAAGTTTTCAAAGCTCTGCATTTTGACTCCATTTGAAACCAAGAGAATTTGGCTTAAGGATTTTATGTTGAACAAATCCCCCCCCCCCCCTATTTAGATTTTTTAATTTTAAGCAAAACTCAATGAGAAAAAACACCTTCCTCACTTAGACTTTTTAACTCAAAGCAAAACTCAGTAAGCTCCATTGGGTTGAAATAAAAACATCAGCCGTTCTTACAGATAATGTTTTTATGACGGTTAAAGTCAGGGTTTTAGACAATGTAAGCAATGTTCAATGCCTGAATTAACAAAAACTTATTGTTTACTGAGCATTTTAAGAAAAAACACCAAGAAATGGCCCGAACTGTATATAACATGCATACACATGAGTTGCTGCCACAGCGCTCTCTTGCGCTCTGTGATCCCTAATCGCCACAAAACTCGGTCCTCCCACAACCTGTCAGGGAGTTGGCACTCCCTCATCTCATTCTGAACCCCCTGTTGCCACCCTCTTACTGAGCGTCCCCTTTAGTCTCCTCCCAGGAGGAACCCAATCAAGCATCTTTTTTGGCAGCCTCTCTTCTGTCATCCTATTTACATGACTGTACCAGACAAGCTGTTTGGTCATGACGTTGAACACGATGTCATTTTTGACTTCTATGATCTGACGCACTCTATCATTACAGACCTGATCTCTCCTAAAACTTCCTGCCGACCTCCTCCAGAAATCCGTCTCCGTTGCTCTTAATATATCCTGTGTCCGTTTCTTCAGCTTCCTAACTTCACATCCGTGTGTTAATATACTTTTAATCACAGCGCTGTATGTCCTCCTGTTATCTTTGGAAATCCGCTGATCCCAGAGGATTCCATTTAACATCGCCATAGCCTGCCTTGCTAAGGTGTTTCTTTCCTTGTAGTTTGATCTGTCCTTCCATCCTGGGTCAACCGTACTCCCAAGTATCTATAAGACGCACAGCCTCTGATCTGCTGCGCATCCTCCAACTCAATTCTTTGATGATCATCTCCTAAAGTCATCTTCTCAGATTTGGATATAACTGTATATGACAAGGTGGTAAAATGGTGCTGGATCCACACCATTTCGCAAGGAAAACACAGCCAAAAAATTTCCATTTGAGTCCAACTATTTTTGAGCTTTAATGAGTACCAGTGCAAGACTGAGGGAAAGAGTGTTCAGCTCAGGCAGCTTGCATCTGATCATCAAGTAAAGGTCACGCCGAGAGATCTATGACGTTTTGGGTCTCTTTAGTCCTCATCAGCAAATCATGTTCGTCAGTGAACCCAACTTAGCATCCCGCAAAATCAAAGACAGCATCAAATGAAATTAGTATTTTATAAGTGTCTGTATTTTAGTAAGTGGTAAAAAAACGAAGCATTCGGTAACTTCTAGCAAAATAAGGAACGAATTTTATTAGTCTTCTAAAACAAAATTAAATTAAAGCTTCAATCTTCCAAAGAATAGTTTGAATGAAAGTGGTGTCCTCTGAAAACGGGTGACCATTAACTGCTTAACCATGGACTAGTTAACCATTAACTATGCCATTAACTAGTTATGTGAAAGAATGACAAATGTTGTCATGACATCTGTCTTTTTTACATATAACACAGGTTTTGCCTGATTTCTCACTCCAGAATTGAGATCTAAGTCTATAAATTTGTACACATGCTTATGAGTTTCCATCCACTCAAAAAACTGTTCTCCCTTAAAATGACGAATGGTTACACCCGTCGTTTTTTCAGATACGGCTTCATATGTGAATATTTCACAAAAAGAGCCGTTCTATCCAACCCTTGCGCACTACAATGCCACACAATATTCAACATGGCTGACAATATTCATTAAGCTTCCTGCTTCAAATGTGATACCACAGCAACAGCACAGATGAACATTTCGTAAAAAGGGTCATTCCATCCAACCCCTGCGCACTAGAATGCCACATTATATTCAACATGGTTTACGCTTATACACAAATCGTGAAATTAACACCATGTTATTTTTCAACACAAGGAAAATCTGAATCTAAACACAATGTTGCTGAAATCCCATCTCATCACGTGTGTTGGCGGTTTGCCGTAGGCCATAGGCCATGTTGAATACTACGTAGCATCCTAGTGCGCAAGGTTTGGATGGAACGACTCCCCTAACGAAATGTTCTCCTGCCGTTTTTGACCCATTTTGTGCATGGCTCTTTCATAAAGTTTTTGGAAACTAACAGGGACGCATTCAGGATGCCAAGGAATGTCCAGAAACAGTTATTCTTTATTTTGACATTTTTCACCCCAAGCCTTCTAGATTTAGGCATTGCAAATGTTTTAATGTAGTTCAAATGTTAGGTTGGAGCTGAATTTCTTTCTTAACTCTCCTTTGTACTCCCTTTCCTGTATAGCACCTCAGGAGAGTAGCATAATACTGCCGAGCTTGTTAACCTGTTTCTAATTCTTGCATTTTCAGAAACTACATTGTCTCCTGATCACGCAGTAATTTTTTCAGATTTTTCCCAGCCGTTTTTCCCTCCGAAAACGACTTTTGAAGTTCGAAATTTTAAAATGCCGCGTTTGCCCGCGCTTTAGCGGCAATCCAATATGGCGCCGGAATTACCCCCTGGCTTCTTGCCACACGTTCGACCGGGCGCCGTCAACGGGACCTCTACGCGTTCGAATATCGAGGCTAATCAAAATAACCAACTGGCTGTTATCAATTTCACCTTTTGACAAAGATTTCTCTGTTTTTGGCATATTCTCTGAACTGTTATTCGTTCAACTAAAATCTCTAACCCTGCCTTCCAAATATCTCGACCTGCAATCTCCTCGGAACCTTGGGAAATCCGAAAATATCGACCAAATTTGTGCTAGTTTACTCAGTCATTTCAGTACACTGAGATACTGTGTTTCCATGGTTTTGAAGTGAATTTGGGAATAATTCTTCTTGAAAATGTTGAGTGCATATGTCATAGAATAAAGAGATTAACGTCAGCAGAAGCGAAAGCCACCGCCATGTTCATGTAAACGAAGCATGACGAAGGGAAGCTGTTTCAATAAACACTGTTTACGTTTGCGGTAGGTCGACGTTTAAAAGAGGTCGAATAATGACAGATACAAACGTTTTTAGGAATTGAAAGAGTTTTCTTTAAACTTATTAATCAATATACCGGAGAAGCACTGTGAATTCGCTTAAAATTTAAGGTTTTTTTTCACTTTTCTTTTAGTAGGTAACCTCGAAATCAGTTTCAACAAGTACCAACTCTGAGAAGAAAAATGTTATCATTGGTTCTTACTGAACTTTCGCTTCTGTTGACGTAGTCTACAGAATGTAGACTACAGTTGAATATAGTGTATATAGTACACAGCACAGTATAGTACAGTAGTGTGTATAGTGTGAGTATAGTACTTGTGAATATAGTTTATTCTATGCGTATGTTTTCGCAATAGTTTTTGGTTAAATTTCAGAAAGAACAACAGATCGGACGGTCAAATCCTGACACTGCTACTAACCATGCCGAAGCTTCATGATGCGAAGCTTTGTGCTTTGTCTGGGGAAGTAAATATTTTGGAGAAAACTTCCTACTTCTCATTTACAGCAATCTAAATAGAATCAGTAATCGAATGTCCTTCCCTCAATGGCTCTCTTTAAAGAAATATCCACAATATATTACATGTATCACTTGTTTACTCTTAGGAAGCCACTCAAGACTAAATGGATTACATTCTGCATTAAGGAACCACTATCTCTGGCCCTCCCACAAAAGCACATATCTGCATAAAGAAACAAATGGCATGTATGTTGTTTCTAAAATGTGCCAGAAAGAGTGGTTCCTTATTGCAAAATGTAATCCAAATAGCCTCCGACAAACTATTCTCGGACCATAAACTCATTAAACTGTTCAGTGTTCCATAATTATTAACAGGTATATTGTGAATTGCTAGTGTGTGCTATTCTTTGATAGTTTGTCTCAATGCGAGATATGAAATCAGTGATTTAATCTCCATTTCTCATCCACTCATTTTCTATGTAATCACATCCTCCACAAGACTTCGATTCACTTTGAACCTGATATTTTTTGGTTAATAATGGCTCAGTACGCTGAGCGTTTTACCAGAAAGTCTGCTTTAAGTTACATTCTTCGACATGGAACTACACACAAATTTTGTGAAGACGCATGCCCTGACTCTGAATAAATGGATTTTGTTAAAAATCCTGAAGATGACAGGTGAGTAGCTAACTACTTTGTAAGTTCCCTTCTCAATTTTGATTACCCAAATGGTTTCTAATGGTGGATAATAAGAGTCGTCCAGAAAGTAAGTTTACGTTTACCTGTTGAATATTTCCGAAACGAAGATAGGTAGAGAAAATCTGTAATAAGCTTTGAGAAGTCAATAAGTACTCTGGTTCTCTATTGCACCGTAGATTTTTAAATTTGGCTTGATAGATCTCTAGAAAAGTGGGATTTTCTGAACCCACCTCCTCTCCTTATGGGTTCAAAATTTTACGGAGCTTAATTCGCAAGTGAGCCTTCCTGTCTATCGCTTATGGCAAGAAAGTGGCTTAAAGGTGATTGAAATACGTGTGAAACATAAGTAAGGACATTTTCCAACAAGGAATTAGCAGGATTAGCCGTGTTTACTTCAAAATACGGGAAAATGTCCTTACATTAATGTGTTAAATGTTTTACATGTGTTTCAACCACCCCTAAGCCACTTTTTTGCAATGAGCGATAGACACAGTGGCTCATTTGCGAATGAGGCTGTAAAATTTTGGACCTGTGCGGAGAGGAGGTGGATTCAGTAAAACCCACTTTTCTAGAGTTCTATCAAGCCAAATATAAAAATCTAAGGTGCGTGTGAGAGCTCAGAGTGGTGGCTTTTTTAAAGTTTATTACAGATTTTCTCTAAGTACCTATCTCAGTTCAGTAGATCTTGAACAGGTAAACTCATCTCTGGACGATTCTCGTAGTTGCTCTTTCCTCTTTCTTGCAAATTATTTATTGAAATGAAATACATAAGGCTCTTTATCAGTGAAATATCACTATGAAAAAGCAACTGAGTTTAAAAACTGAGAAAAAAAAAAAGTAATCGTGACAATAAAATGAGGTGAAAAAATCCACCAACTGGAGGCATCCACTTCAAAATATTGCAATCACATGAATTTGTTGGCTGGAGTCTAGCGCATCCACCTGCACAATTGATTTTAAGGGTTTCCATGGTAGTATTGAAGGAAAATCTAGACAAATTTTCTTCGACTTATATTTTGATCACTACCTAGACATTTCTGCGGGGCGATTATTGAAATGATATCGACTGTATGTCGCCGCTTTGTCGTGTCGCGCCATCGACTAAGTGGCTCTTAGTCGATGGCGCGACACGACAAAGCGGCGACATAGAGTCGATATCATTTTAATAATCACCCTGCTGTTGTGAAATGGAGACCTCAGGATTCCATGTCAATCCAGTGATAAGAGAATACCTTGGTGTGCCTTCGCATTAACACTTAATACATTTTTTGTGATTTTCATTTACTGGATATTATATTCATTGCACACCACAAACATTTTTTATGAGAAAACCACGTATGTTCCAAAGAATTCAATACAAGTCATGTGCATGTTGGAGCAAATTTACTTCCGTTCTAGTTTGAACATTATTGGTATGTACTTTTCAATTTCATGATTAAACGGCTTTTGCCGAAGGGTCTGTTGGTGCCGGCACAGGCAGTTCCAAGGTAGAGTGTAGATCCATGTCGAAGAAAATTCCTTTGAACTGATTTTTTAGTAAATTAATGCTCAGATAACTGAAGCATAATTTACTACACTATCAGACTTCAAAGGGAGTTGGTCATGAGGAAGTATTCACAACAGCATGGGAAAGAATATATGGATATATAAGTAGAAGTAATGAGCAAATATACAGATTACTGACTTTAACCAGGGTGTCTACGAGTCCGGAAAGTCCAGAGAAAGCACACATTTTTTGAAGTCGGTCCGTAAGTACCTAAAAAGAATGTGAATCTCGCGGAAGGTCCGTAATTTATCGCAATTTTGCGCTGCGCGTTCAGTTCGATCGCCTGATAGTCATGCAACCCTCTGTGCGTTGTCCGTCAGGCGTATTAGTGCAATGTCAGCCCGTAAGAGCGCGGTTGTTGTAGAGGAGCGAAATAAGGCATTTCCATAGATTTGATGGAAACACTTGAAAAGGCCTCGGGAACAGCCGAAAAGGCCACAGGAACAGCCGAAAAGGCCATGGGAACAGCCGAAGTAAAGCGCGCGGCAGTGCCAAAATCGAAGAATTGCGATACGTATTGAAAAAGTACTTCATTTTTCCCCAAGGCGAGGTACTTAAATTTTCCTAAGTACCTAAAAAGCACTGAAAAAGTGCTTATTTTATTTTTGTGGACCTCAGTAGACACCCTGCTTTAACACTCAAAAAGGAGGAAAATTCTTAGAGTAAGTGCTTGGTATCAGATGTTCTAGCAGCATAATGCCTGTCCAATGTGAAGATCGTTTGAATACCAAATGGTTGCAAGTGCAAGAATCTATGAATGACCGCAGAAAATGTATCATTAGAAGAACACATATAAGTATATTTTGACTAACACAAACACTGTTAAAATCGTGTCCAATGTTAACCCCAACACCGAAAACACGGTGATTTCAACTGAAAAACAAACACCTCTAGATACTTTAGTGATAGGGACACACACATATAACTAACACAGTTTTGGAAGATATTTTCCCAACGTTCCAAGGAGATAGCAGGTCGAGATATTTGTGAAGCAGGGTTAGATATTTTTAACGAATAACAGTTCAGAAAATATTCCAAAAACTAGAGAAATCTTTGTTAAAAGGTGAAATTGATAACAGCCAGTAGGTTGTTTTGATTAGCCTCGATATTTGAACGCTCAGAGGTCTCGCTGACGGCGCCCGGTCGAATGTGTGGCAAGAAGCCAGGGGGTAATTCCGGCGCCATATTGGATTGCCGCTAAAGCGCGGGCAAACGCGGCATTTTAAAATTTCGAACTTCAAAAGTCGTTTTCGGAGGGAAAAACGGCTGGGAAAAATCTGAAAAAATTACTGCGTGATCAGGAGACAATGTAGTTTCTGAAAATGCAAGAATTCGAAACAAGTTAACAAGCTCATTCAGATAAAAAAGGAAAAAATTTCAAATTTCTTTAAATTTATCGGAGCCGTTTGAAATTTTATGTAATTTCAAAACACGAAATTTCACTTTCCACCTCTATTTGCCGTACTTGGTAACGATTTTGAAGCAAGAAGCTTCAAAAATAATGCATATTGTCCTCACAGAGTGAAGTTAGAAATGTATTTCAGACTTTCCTGATGTGCTCATCATGATTTCTGAGCCATTTTCTGGAAGAAATGACTCTTCTGTTTGCTCTAGCTGAATTTTGCAACATGCCCATAAAGCTTTTCTCTCTGTATATCATCATATCAAAATCTATATTTTCCTGTCTTCACATTTAGTTTCCTATCATCAAATCGTGTAACTGAAAAATACTTTGAACGCGAGAGAATTCTTCCTCTGCAATTATATCCCCGTATATGCCAATCATGTAGACCGTCAAGTGCAGCTGCCGCTCTGAAGTTCTCAAATTTCGAATTACTTCAATTTTAAGAGACTCTGCACAAGAGAAATCTTGCCCCCCCCCCCACTAAAATATAAAAGAACCATTGAAAAGTTAGAAAATTCTAAAATTTGAGAAAACTTGAATTCATTTAGAAATGATTTTTTGCTCAGTTTAGTTTGATTGAATCCATGCATCCTGATAAAAATAATAACAAAAAAACTTACCTCAAAAGCTTGTCACCCCTTGTCAAAATGTTCAATTTCATTTTCTTTCAGCGCAATCCAGAAATTAATCACATGCTGAATAATCCAGAATTATTACGGCAAACTATGGAGTTGGCGCGAAATCCAGCCATGTTGCAGGAGTTGATGCGCTCTCAGGACAGAGCGATGTCCAACTTAGAATCCATTCCAGGCAAGTGAATGTAGTTGTTCCTGTAATGTATTTTTCACTCCTGTGAATGCTGCCAGCGAAATATCGACCAGAAATTCAGAAGCTTTGTGGAAATAACGGATAGTATTACCCGTCTATGACACAATGGACCACTGTATTGAGGAAAGACTTTAGTATCACCAGAAGTTTCTCTTCATCTGAAAAAGGAGGCACACTAGGGTGTCCCTTGAAAAAATCGACCCGAATTTTCATCCAGCACACAGGGAGTTAAATTCTAGTGTGTGAAAATACTCTTAACCCCGAATTTCTGGTTGAAATGGACGGTTGTTCTAGACTGAGGGGGAAGGTGATGGACTAACAACATGGTCTCTCAAGGGTTGCTGCCAGTTAGTCTCTTACTTCTCTCCTTTGTCCATGGCAACCACCCACTTCCAGCAATAGAATTGCTCCATTTTCTCTGTGTCTATCACTTTGTCCGTTAGTGGCAATAAAATGCCTGCAGGAGACCTTGAGGAATCGGGCTCTGACTTGAAGGGTGCTGAAAGTGTTAGTCAGAAAAATCTGAAGGCCTCCAAAAAAGGGGCAAAATGCGAAGGGAACTACTGAACAATTTATATTTTCAGGAGGGAACTGCTAAGCTCGCGTTACTAATTGCCTGTGTAACACTCTCTTTTATGTGAGATTAGTGAAGCCCCCCCCCCCCCCCCCCNTGTGAACAACAATGTGAAAGGAAGAGTCTTACATGGCAAGAAAGAAAAATGAAAGCAGTAACATTTTTTTCAGCACTATCACAACTGAAAAAAACACTGACACCATGACCACAGTAACACTGCTAAAAACCAGAGATTAAATGTCTGAATGGGACAAAACCATCATATTCTTTGAAATTAGGCATTTACTCAACTTCCCAAATAGTTTGAAGAGTTGATGTTTATTTCAACATTCATTTTTCTCACTTGTTGCCGTATTTATCGAATTCGACGTACCTGAAAAAATTACGTAGTGTTATTTTATATCAGGTGGGAAATGCAACATTTCCAAAATCGTTTTGGTGGCAATGAGGCCACTGGCGAGTTTTCTCAAGATTTCTTGAGACCAAAAGAAAGTGCTAACCCTTCTGCCCTAAGCTACTAAAGTAACCAGCCAAGGAACAGTTTTTATTTTATCACTCCTTCTTTTGTCGAACATCTAGCAACTTTTCTTTCAATATTATAATATTTGTCCTTCTAAAAATAGTTAGTTTTGTGTAGGTGGTTACAATGCTCTTCAAAGAATGTATAGAGATATTCAGGAGCCGATGTTGAATGCTGCCAATGAACAATTTGGAAGGAATCCGTTTGCCTCTGTTGGCAGCAATAATACCGGTACGTCTCTTCTTTCAGTAGTATAGAAAAAGGAAACCGAAAGTATTAATAGCAACTAAATTCTGGGTTTTTTCATTGAGATTTAACAAAGTTTACGGTGTTCAGTGCTATCCAAGCTCCGAATTACAAAAGTCAATTTGGGAAGTGCATGCGGTTGAAAAGCAGAACTGGAAAATTTCGTAATTAATGTTACTGGTGTTTTGTCATTTTTTTAGACCATTTCTTCACTTTTGTGCTATGTCCATTTTCAAAAGAAAAAAAAGCCCAAAAACGCTCCACCCTAGCGTGTAAGGCAAGGAAAAAGCAAGGATTTTTGAGAATCGTCAAAATGAGGAATTTTCGAGAAAGTAAGGGAAAGCTACTGAATAAGCAAGGGATTTGAATGACAGGGTACCAGTAGACACCATGGACAAGAGAAGCAGCCATGCCAAACTTTGCAATGCGCATTCGTTGGAAGCTAACCATGCCAGTGTCGCATTAAGGTGTTCCAATTTCAGGCTACCATCTCAAAACCTAGCTCCCTGGGCTTTTTCCCAGTCCTTCTGGTCCCCAAAAGGAATGGAAAAAAAGCCTGGGGAGCAAGGTCCTGAGATGGTTGTCTGAAAACGGAACACCCCAGTGTCGTATTGTGTGGCGCTGCTTTTCTTTGGAGCAGTGAGTCAGGGCAGAAGCGGCAGGATTTGATTCAGAGCGGAACATGTCCTGTCTAATGCTGTCCGAGTGGGGAGGATAAAAAAGTGGCAAGCAAGACAGCTTTCAGCTCAGTTGAGCCTTAGCCCTGCTGTAAGCCTCTTCCTTTGGGCTGTCCGTGCCAAACTTGTGTCACGGTGCTACCTTGCTAGACGATTTACCGCGCGGCTGAAGTCATTACTACTTACAATTAGTTATTTATTAATCGTGTTTTAATAATCAAATATTTTCTTTTAGAATCTAGTGATCTATAAAATGTCATGTTGGGTGGCTGTATCTTAAATGACACATGATTGTCCCGTGATAACTCTAAAGATAGGCTCTTTTTAGTCTCGATTGACAATAGGCAGCATGTGTGTTTTGTGGTGGAAAGGCCTTTAAAATTGCCGCAATAGGCGAATCCGGCGTTGAAAGTCACTTATAGGAGCGAAAATACATATATCTTGAAAACGCTTGCCTTATCGGAAGCAGATCTTTCAAACAACAGAGAAGTGTAAATTTGTGAATGAAGCAAAGTTCTATAGTATGGGGAGATAAACGTTTTATTAGGAAAAAATTATGAAAAAGTGCCCGAAAATTGTTACAGAAGTTCTGAAAAAATGATCGTTCTTTTAATCTTGAGGCTGCACGAGCTAAGACTCAGGGTGAAGAAGAAACACTTCTCAATAAGGAAGCCTGCCAAAACAGTTGTGGTGAATAATTTGCTTCACATAGACTCAAGGTTTTTCCTTTAAGTGAGAAATTCAAATTTTTTTAACCAGTGCCAAGTAGAAATTCTAAAAAATATTTTGTTAGGAGTTAATTTCAGTAACTTTTGATCCACAATGCGTACACTACATGACATTTTAAAGAGGAAACATGTAACAGAATGCATATTGTATTTTTGTACTGTGTAATTGATCCGTAATGGCCAACATTAGGAATATAATGTGTGACTATAAAAAATTAGGAGGTTCACCCAAAGGCAACTTTTCTCCCCACCCATCTTTGGATTTCCAAATTTTTAAAGTGGACATCTCCAGACATTCTCCCCCTCCCCCCAACCCACCCACAAAGAAATAGGTTTGTACTAGAGCTGTGCGATTAATTAAACATTAATCGTAATTGCGATTAGTTCTTTTAATTGTAACCATAATGGAAGTGAAAAATTAATCACAGTTGAATTGATGTTTGGGTGGACGGACATATCCTGTCGCGAATTTTATGAAATCATTTTTATTAACTCTCGGCCTTGTTCTGTGAGTGTTCTCTCTTCTCTCCAAGCCAAGAAACTGAAATAAGTCGTGTTTATTTTGGGTGGAAAGGATCTTTTAGAAAAAAAGACAATGAGTCAACCTTAAGGATTTAAAGGGAAAAAGAATACTAGCCGTTCCGAGCGCGCTTCGCGTGCCCTCCATGGCTGGCCAGGGGGCTTCGCCTCCTGAGACCCCTATCACTCGCTCCGAAGCAAGCCACATTCCTGTCTCCACCATCTTGATTACATTCGAGAAAGTTTCTGAAACACATGCCACTCGTTGTCTTGCAACACTCTTCCAAAAGTCTAAGAATATTTGAGAAAGCTCCCAAAAGGACATGGCGAGGGCCTCAATTTAATTGCGCACCGCGTGGAGAAAATTTGAAAGAGTTCAAACAAATTCAAGAAAAGCTACTGTCAGTCATGATACCCTATGAAAGTCCCAGAAAATTCTGTAAAGTTTTGGAGAGGATTAATGAGGGTCATGGTTTTACCGACGGTCACCTGAATGATGAAAATTGGAGAGAGTTCTAGAAAGTTCCAGAAACAGTTACTACATTTCGCCGCAAGACACCCTCCTTATGTTTAGGAAAATCCTAAAAAGTTTTGGGGGGTTTAAAATGAAAAGGGAGCCTCTTCGGTACCGGCTGCAGTTCTTGCAGAAATTGGAGGGAGGGACGGCAAGGAACCACTGGCCGCGGCTGCGTAGTGCTCTAGAAGCCGATTAGCGCGACGCGATACGCGGTGCGCACGGTGGGCCAGATCGTGTCCGTAGCGGCGCTTAATTGATAACTCCCGCTAGATCAGATATATCGACGGTGTCAGTCGGCAATCATATAACTCGGTTTGCGACGTCGCAGACTTCCTGTCACACTTTATTTTTTAAACGGAAAACTGCTCAACGGCAATTCTTTAAAACTGCCGTGATTTTTCTTCTCTGCGCGAAGAAAATTCTGCAAAAACTTAAAGGAATGATGTCAATTTGTTCTTCTTTAAAAAAGAAAACCAAAAAGGCGGAGATTTTCAGACACCGCTAACGAGTTATGTGTTTGCCGACTTACACCGTCGATATCGTTCAAAACATGATGAATCCTAGGGTAATTTGATCTGTTCTTTCCAAATTTTGTGTCAAAAAAACCGGCAAAAATGTCTAAATGTAGGTTTTGGACGTCGACAGCTCAAGAAATTGCTCGTTGAAAAAGAGGATTTTGTGCTCTTATTAAATGGGGTAAAAACATAATCATCGAACAGAAAAATGCAATCTTATCGTCTAACCTCGTAATTCTATTGGAAGGAGAATCTTTTCGCTTTTGCAGATCCCATAAATATTGATTTTTAGCTGCTGGGCATGAGATCAAAGTCGCTCGAAATAAAAGCCTTAAAAAATGAGTTTTTCAGAATATTGTAGACTGGGAAAGTGTCATTGCGGTTCGTTGCGCGGTTCTCTTTGGTATTATTAGAAAGCATATATCATAGAGATACCGTATACCAAAGCACAAACTGTACAAACCGGTTTAACCATATTTGTAGGATGCTTCTTTGAGGTGACCTTCAATTTCCGCGAAAATCAGACATAAAGGTTTTAAGGAACCATGGTAACAGTAAAGCGGCCAATGAAATATTTCAACACAAATTCATGTTTTAAGGGTTTTTAAGGTTTCCAGTAGCATTTCTAGCTCTTTCGATACTTTAGGGTGGAAGGAGGGGGAGGCCGACCAAAATCAGACAGTCAAAAATTTGTTATGGTCAGCAATTTTGTTGAGCCCAGTAAATAATGATAATTTTTTTTACAGCCGTTCCCGCATTTAGCCCAAATAGGACTGGTTTTAAACCAATTTGGCAATGAATATGAAAATTCTACCATCCCATGCCATCTAAGTTTAGAGTGAGTTGACCGTCGCTGACACCAATATAACTGATGAAATCTGATAAATATAACTGATGAATAACTGATTGAAGGATATCATCCTCAAGCACGCAAGATTGCATAAATTACAGTTCAACAGTGAAGTTGAAATTTCATCAGTTATATTGGTGTCAGCAACGGTCAACTCACTCTAAACTTAGGTGGCATGTGATGGTAGAATTTTCATATTCATTGCCAAATTGGTTTAAAGCTAGTCCTATTTGGGCTGAAAGCGTGAACAGATGTAAAAAAATTATCATTATTTACTGGGCTTAAGAAAATTGTTGACCTAACCTAACAAATTTTTGACTGTCTGATTTTGGTCGGCCTCCCCCTCCTTCCACCCTAAAGTATCGAAAGAGCGAGAAATGCTACTAGAAACCTTGAAAACCCTTAAAACAAGCATTCGTGTTGAAATATTTCATTGACCGCTTTACTGTGTACCGTGGTTCCTTAAAACCTCCAAATCTGATTTTCGCGGAAACTGGAGGTCACCTCAAAGAAGCATCCAACAAATATGGCTGTACCGCTTTGTACCGTTTGTGCTTTGGTATATGGTATCTCTATGATATATGCTTTCTAATAAAACCGAAGAGAACCGCGCAACGAACCGCAATGACACTCTCCCAGTCTACAATATTCTGAAAAATTCATTTTTTAAGGCTTATTTTTCGGGCAACTTTGATCTCATGCCCTGCAGCTAAGAATCAATATTTTTGGGATCTGCAAAAGCGAAAATACTCGTCATGCAATGGAGTTTACCAGTCAGATGCATATAATGGTGTGAGGTTCACGAGAGCACTGTAAAATAAATGAGTATACAACGCGCCTCAGGTTGCAGAAATCTGGGTTCATCACATTCCACATGCTGCATATAGCTATCTACGTGGAAACCGCAGATATAATGAATATTTTAGATATACCTATGTAATTTCGTTATCAGTAGGTATCTGAGCATCGATTTAGATGGCTCTGATGAGGAAAAAAAATGTCGAAAAATTGGATTTCGCACCGCCACAGACACGATTTGCCCATAGTGATGCGGGTGGTGGGGCAGGAGCTCAGCACAGCAGCCGGCGGAGGACGGGCGTAGCGGCGCCGGGAGGGGGAGGGTGGCTACCGCTGCGGTGAGGGGTCGGTGGGCCTGCGGAGCGCGGGGGAGGAATTCCT